CCTGACCATTAGTGGGATACCCCACAGCACCTACAGCCACATCCAACATCCAACATCTACATCCTACATCTACATCTACATCTACATCTTCATCCTACATCTACATCTACATCCTACATCTACATCCTACATTTACATCCTACATCTACATCTACATCTACATCTACATCTACATCCTACATCTACATCCTACATCTACATCCTACATCTACATCTACATCTACATCCTACATCTACATCTACATCCTACATCTACATCTACATCCTACATCTACATCTACATCTACATCTACATCTACATCCTACATCTACATCTACATCCTACATCTACATCCTACATCTACATCTACATCCTACATCTACATCCTACATCTACATCTACATCCTACATCTACATCTACATCCTACATCTACATCTACATCCTAAATCTACATCTACATCCTACATCTACATCTACATCCTACATCTACATCTACATCCTACATCTACATCCTACATCTACATCTACATCCTACATCTACATCCTACATCTACATCTACATCCTACATCTACATCTACATCCTACATCTACATCTACATCCTACATCTACATCTACATCTACATCTACATCCTACATCTACATCTACATCTACATCTACATCTACATCCTACATCTACATCCTACATCTACATCCTACATCTACATCTACATCCTACATCTACATCCTACATCTACATCCTACATCTACATCCTACATCTACATCTACATCCTACATCTACATCTACATCTACATCTACATCCTACATCTACATCCTACATCTACATCTACATCCTACATCTACATCCTACATCTACATCCTACATCTACATCCTACATCTACATCTACATCCTACATCTACATCTACATCTACATCCTACATCTACATCTACATCTACATCTACATCTACATCCTACATCTACATCCTACATCTACATCTACATCCTACATCTACATCCTACATCTACATCTACATCTACATCCTACATCTACATCTACATCCTAAATCTACATCTACATCTACATCTACATCTACATCTACATCCTACATCTACATCTACATCTACATCCTACATCTACATCTACATCTACATCCTACATCCTACATCCTACATCTACATCTACATCCTACATCTACATCTACATCTACATCCTACATCTACATCTACATCCTAAATCTACATCTACATCTACATCCTACATCTACATCTACATCTACATCCTAAATCTACATCTACATCTACATCTACATCTACATCTAAATCTACATCTACATCTACATCTACATCCTACATCTACATCCTACATCTACATCTACATCTACATCCTACATCTACATCCTACATCTACATCTACATCCTACATCTACATCCTACATCTACATCTACATCTACATCCTACATCTACATCTACATCCTAAATCTACATCTACATCTACATCTACATCCTACATCTACATCTACATCCTACATCTACATCTACATCTACATCTACATCCTACATCTACATCCTACATCTACATCTACATCCTACATCTACATCCTACATCTACATCTACATCTACATCCTACATCTACATCTACATCCTAAATCTACATCTACATCTACATCTACATCTACATCTACATCCTACATCTACATCTACATCCTAAATCTACATCTACATCTACATCTACATCTAAATCTACATCTACATCTACATCTACATCTACATCCTACATCTACATCCTACATCTACATCTACATCTACATCTACATCCTACATCTACATCCTACATCTACATCCTACATCTACATCTACATCCTACATCCTACATCTACATCTACATCCTACATCTACATCCTACATCTACATCTACATCTACATCCTACATCTACATCCTACATCTACATCTACATCCTACATCTACATCCTACATCCTACATCTACATCTACATCTACATCCTACATCTACATCCTACATCTACATCCTACATCTACATCTACATCCTACATCTACATCCTACATCTACATCCTACATCTACATCCTACATCTACATCTACATCCTACATCTACATCCTACATCTACATCTACATCTACATCCTAAATCTACATCCTACATCTACATCTACATCCTACATCTACATCTACATCCTACATCTACATCCTACATTTACATCCTACATCTACATCTACATCCTACATCCTACATCTACATCTACATCTACATCCTACATCCTACATCTACATCCTACATTTACATCCACACCCATGAAGATCCAGGGTAGAAACCCATGCCTGCCGTAAATGGCGACAATGCTTGTCGTAAGAGGCGGGATTGGGTGGTTAGGCTTGCTGACTTGTTCGATGCATGTCATTGTATTCCAATTGCGTAGATCTATGTTCATGATGTCAATCACTGGATTGTCTGGTCCAAACTCAATTATTACAGACCACCGTCATATAGCTGGAATATTGTTGAGTGTGGTGTTAAACAAACAAACAAACAAACCAACAACATCTACATCCACAACCAACAACATCTACATCCACAACCAACAACATCTTTGTCAACAACCCACAGCAACAACATCCACTTCCAACAGCTCCTACAACCAGATCCAACAACAAGACCATTTAAGTAGAAGACATACCCAGACTGGGACATGTGGGAAGGGAGAAAACTCCTGACATCTCCAAATTATATTCTGTATCTGTCAGATTTGGGGCAGGTTTTGTCAACAGAGCTGTAAAAAAGTAATTAAAACTCTATCTCAACAGTGCTTCCTTAATATGCTTGCACTACAGTAGCCGCGATGACCTGATACCTGTGACATCCTCTAGTCTACTTACAAATGCACCTGCAGGGATTCTGATTAGAATAGGTCACCAGCATGCTGGTCATAAGAGGCGACATGATGGATCGGGTGACTGGCTTTATTGCGTAGGTGTCATCGTACCCCAACCAAGGTTCATTCCGATGTCAATCACTAGATTGTCTGGTCCAGACTGGATGTGTGATGTGGCTGCAGTCATGTTACTGGAATGTTGCTGAGTGTGGCACCAAACACCATACAAACACACAATCTGAAAATAAAAACTGAGAAAATAAACTTTTTAAAAATTTAAAAGGTCAAGTGATGAAAATATTGCAGAAAGATTACAAAATGACATCTACTTGCCCTGCAGGACAAGTTTAGTTTAACTTTAAGAAACTTTTCTGAGCCCTGTAGACACAAGGGATGAGGCCGGGACATGCTTCTCAATACCTACACCATTCATGTGGTGTTGGTATTTGTTTTAATTAAACTTCATGAAATGAAAAAAATCACACGTGTATCACTTTTCACTGCCATCTACTTTCATCTGTAACCATTCAAACTTGCTCAAGCATGCTTCTTGCACTGTTTGCTTTTGCTTTCTACAGTCATACAGAGATTTCCCTTTTTTCAGTCAGGGGGTAAGGGTGGCCCAGTCGTCTAAGGCGCTGCGATTCGCTGTGCAGAGTTGCATGCCTTGGGCACACCAGAAACCTACGATTGTAGGTACGAATTTCGGTTCGCCCCAATTATGTTTCTAGGTTTGTCAGCACCTTACCCGTGCTCGTGGGTTTTACCGAAGTGGTAAACGTCTGAGACCTGCATCACTTCGGGCTTTCCTCCCACATTAAGCTGACTCGCCATGATATAACTGGAATAGTGTTAAAAAGCAGCGTTAAACCCAACTTACTCACTCACTCCTATTTTCAGTCTGTTTGGTAAGCGAATCATGTTTTTCTCGTCAAGTATCGTCACTATACCTGATTAAATATTTCTGTATATCAGCCATGTCCCTCACACAATCGTTCACTTTTCGCTAAAACAAAAATAGTAGACATAATTACCTCCCTTTAAAAATTTGTTTCGGGACCTGCTGCACATACACACTTTGTGTTTATTTCTCTAACAGATGGTTGCCAAGTATGCCGTTTTGTTATGATATGAGTGTTTTGTATTTCGTTATTTTTACTAAGAATGTTCAAGAGATGAAAACATATTTTTAGTTCGAAATTATCCTGCATACTTTATTGAGAACAATCAGAGATGAATTGATATTATTGATATGTGTACTCGTCTGGTAGGATGTCTCACCCTGCACATGCTACCAATCATCAGTACGAGTGGACGAGTGGATTTTTCAAGCCCTGGTGTGCTATCTGACTGGTGCATGCCCAATCCCAATGTGACTGGGCCCTATCCCTTCTGACTACTAGACACGCTAAACATTCCATGTTACAACAGGCAGGACCCGTGAATGCTTGCCGTAAAAGGCGACTATGCTTGCCGTAAGAGGCAACTAACGGGACTGGGTGGCCAGGCTCGCTGACTTGGTTGATACATGTCATCGTATCCCAATTGAGTTGATCAATGTTCATGATGTCAATCACTGGATTGTCTGTCCAGACTCGATTATTTACATACCACTGTCATATAGCTGGAATATTGCTGAGTGCGGCATTAAACAACAAACAAAAACAACTACAACAGACAGTGTGGACAGACTTCATTATTTACCCTTGACAGATCTGTAGCATAGCTCCACACTGCGAACAACCTGCTTGCTGGTGCAGAATAGCTACCTTTGTTACACTGGCACTCTTTGCTTTTCTATTTATAGCTATTTTTTTAATTTCTTGCACAAGTTTAATGAAGAAATGCCCATCAAACAATTTAAGTTTAATGAAACAAGGATTCGGTGGTTACATTGTGTGATTAAGTCGTATTTTTCATGACCATTCTGCTCCAAACCCACTGTTGGCATGCAGGCATTCTGTGATTATGAGTGCTACTTTCGATGAAATATTTGATCTTTCTGATAGGGCAACTGGCCAATCAGATATCTAGCATGATCTAACTTTATGACCAGCATGTTTTTTCTATTAAAAGGGTCTTGGGTGAGTGAGATAAGAAGATTGTGTGAGTAGTAATGATGGTGCTGACCCTTGTTTGTTGCAGGCTGGAGGAGGAGAAAAGAAGGAACACCTGTACAAGATCCTGGTGATCGGAGAGCTTGGCACCGGCAAGACAAGCATCATCAAGCGATATGTCCATCAGTTTTTCTCACAACACTACAGAGCTACTGTATCCTTCAAAACACATCATAGTTGGGGATTTCGGATCAGAGTACAGGGATTTACCTAGTTGTGCTCCACGTTCGGCGGGGCGGTCGGGTAGACCAGTTGTTAAAGCGTTCGCTTGTCACGCCGAAGACCCGGGTTCGATTCCCGACATGGGTACAATGTGTGAAGCCCATTTCTGTTGTCCCCCGTCGTGATATTGCTGGAATATTGCTACAGGCGGTGTAAAAAAAATTACTCTCTCACTCCATATTCGGCCAAAGTCTGCAGGAAATGTCTCTAACTATTCCTAAATTGGATTAAGAATTTAACAAGTTTTGTGGTCATGTTGATGGTTTATAGAGGTGACATGTAGTAGAATGACCAATAGAAAAAGAGGCTTCAATGCTTAGTTTTACATTGTTGCATTCAGTACCAAGGGTACATGGTTTGGAATTTTAGATACAACCCTGGAGAAGGTCCCCAGCACCCCATGCTTGCTGTAATATTGGCTAATATGAGGATTGGATGGGCACAATGTGTGTCCAGGTTCATACTTTTGACACCCAATTGAGTTGCTAATTGATAGTTAGTTTGCTGGTCCACACTCAATTATTAAGAGGCAGACATGATGTAGCTGACATATTGCTGACATGAGCATAATAAAAATATTTACTGTCCTGTAAAGTGACCATGCTGGTAAAAACCGAGAACAACGTGGTACAGTTTGTGTCCCCTAGCTTCTACAGCTAGGTCAGTAGGCTGGGTTGTTATATATGCAACACTCACGCCCTAGTTGTTTCTTTCTTCCCATTGTCACAACCCATCCTTTCACTTGTATTTATGATGGAATGTATTTAATGAATCTAAAATGTAAAAAATAAATTCAAGAAAATAGGTTGCTCTGGCCTTGTTATGCAATCCCAGTAAACGATTTAGCATTAAGTGGAGTATGTGATACTTTACTGTCAAGTGACAGGAACTACACGCGGAACTGCACTTGGCTTTGTGATATTTCAATTGTTAATGACTGGCATTATAACTAGCACACGGGAGAAAAGGACGTCAAGTTTCAATATTTGACATGGTATCTGGGATATATCAAGGAGCTACAAATCAAGACAAAGAGTCCATTGCATGTGACTGTTGTGAATAAATGAAACACTGCTGCCACCATGGTGATGCTGTTTTGCCTTAACATTCATTCAGATTGGTGTAGACTTTGCATTGAAAGTGTTGAACTGGGATGCTGACACGCTGATCAGGCTGCAGTTATGGGATATCGCAGGTATGGTTGGCTGAAAGGGTTGTGAAGTCTTCAGACAGGTATCCCCAGTGCTGGGGTATTCACTGAAGCAGAACCAGGGGAGACATAGGGCCCCCATCCACACATTCGACATTGTCTGGACTGGTACCCTAGATATCCCTCCCCACTAGGCTAGAACAGCTAACTTGGGTACCCCCTCCCCACTAGGCTAGAACAGCTAACTTGGGTACCCCCTCCCCACTAGGCTAGAACAGCTAACTTGGGTACGCCCTCCCCACTAGGCTAGAACAGCTAACTTGGGTACCCCCCTCCCCACTAGGCTAGAACAGCTAACTTGGGTACGCCCTCCCCACTAGGCTAGAACAGCTAACTTGGGTACCCCCTCCCAACTAGGCTAGAACAGCTAACTTGGGTACCCCCTCCCCACTAGGCTAGAACAGCTAACTTGGGTACCCCCCTCCCCACTTGGCTAGAACAGCTAACTTGGGTACCCCCTCCCCACTTGGCTAGAACAGCTAACTTGGGTACCCCCTCCCCACTAGGCTAGAACAGCTAACTTGGGTACCCCCTCCCCACTTGGCTAGAACAGCTAACTTGGGTGACCCCCTCCCAACTTGGCTAGAACAGCTAACTTGGGTACCCCCTCCCCACTTGGCTAGAACAGCTAACTTGGGTACCCCCCTCCCCACTTGGCTAGAACAGCTAACTTGGGTACCCCCCTCCCCACTTGGCTAGAACAGCTAACTTGGGTACCCCCCTCCCCACTTGGCTAGAACAGCTAACTTGGGTACCCCCCTCCCCACTTGGCTAGAACAGCTAACTTGGGTACCACCCTCCCCACTTGGCTAGAACAGCTAACTTGGGTACCCCCTCCCCACTTGGCTAGAACAGCTAACTTTGGTACCCCCCTCCCCACTTGGCTAGAACAGCTAACTTGGGTACCACCCTCCCCACTTGGCTAGAACAGCTAACTTGGGTACCCCCCTCCCCACTTGGCTAGAACAGCTAACTTGGGTACCCCCTCCCCACTTGGCTAGAACAGCTAACTTGGGTACCCCCCTCCCCACTAGGCTAGAACAGCTAACTTGGGTACCCCCTCCCCACTTGGCTAGAACAGCTAACTTGGGTACCCCCCTCCCCACTAGGCTAGAACAGCTAACTTGGGTACCCCCCTCCCCACTTGGCTAGAACAGCTAACTTGGGTACCACCCTCCCCACTTGGCTAGAACAGCTAACTTGGGTACCCCCCTCCCCACTTGGCTAGAACAGCTAACTTGGGTACCCCCTCCCCACTTGGCTAGAACAGCTAACTTGGGTACCCCCCTCCCCACTAGGCTAGAACAGCTAACTTGGGTACCCCCTCCCCACTTGGCTAGAACAGCTAACTTGGGTACCCCCCTCCCCACTAGGCTAGAACAGCTAACTTGGGTACCCCCCTCCCCACTTGGCTAGAACAGCTAACTTGGGTACCCCCTCCCCACTAGGCTAGAACAGCTAACTTGGGTACCCCCCTCCCCACTTGGCTAGAACAGCTAACTTGGGTACCCCCTCCCCACTTGGCTAGAACAGCTAACTTGGGTACCCCCTCCCCACTAGGCTAGAACAGCTAACTTGGGTACCCCCCTCCCCACTTGGCTAGAACAGCTAACTTGGGTACCCCCTCCCCACTTGGCTAGAACAGCTAACTTGGGTACCCCCTCCCCACTAGGCTAGAACAGCTAACTTGGGTACCCCCTCCCCACTAGGCTAGAACAGCTAACTTGGGTACCCCCTCCCCACTAGGCTAGAACAGCTAACTTGGGTACCCCCCTCCCCACTAGGCTAGAACAGCTAACTTGGGTACCCCCTCCCCACTTGGCTAGAACAGCTAACTTGGGTACCCCCTCCCCACTTGGCTAGAACAGCTAACTTGGGTACCCCCTCCCCACTAGGCTAGAACAGCTAACTTGGGTACCCCCTCCCCACTTGGCTAGAACAGCTAACTTGGGTACCCCCCTCCCCACTTGGCTAGAACAGCTAACTTGGGTACCGCCTCCCCACTTGGCTAAACAGCTAACTTGGGTACCCCCTCCCCACTTGGCTAGAACAGCTAACTTGGGTACCCCCCTCCCCACTTGGCTAGAACAGCTAACTTGGGGACCCCCTCCCCACTTGGCTAGAACAGCTAACTTGGGTACCCCCTCCCCACTTGGCTAGAACAGCTAACTTGGGGACCCCCTCCCCACTTGGCTAGAACAGCTAACTTGGGTACCCCCTCCCCACTTGGCTAGAACAGCTAACTTGGGTATCCCTCCCACTTGGCTAGAACAGCTAACTTGGGTAACCCCTCCCCACTTGGCTATATCTCCATGCTGTGTATGTATGTGACAGCTATATCTCCATGCTGTGTATGTGTGTGACTGCTATATCTCCATGCTGTGTATGTATGTGACAGCTATATCTCCATGCTGTGTTACTGTGTATGTATGTGACAGCTATATCTCCATGCTGTGTATGTGTGTGACTGCTATATCTCCATGCTGTGTTACTGTGTATATATGTGACAGCTATATCTCCATGCTGTGTTGCTGTGTATGTTTGTGACAGCTATATCTCCATGCTGTGTTACTGTGTATGTATGTGACAGCTATATCTCCATGCTGTGTTACTGTGTATGTATGTGACAGCTATATCTCCATGCTGTGTATGTATGTGACTGCTATATCTCCATGCTGTGTATGTATGTGACTGCTATATCTCCATGCTGTGTATGTGTGTGACTGCTATATCTCCATGCTGTGTTACTGTGTATGTATGTGACAGCTATATCTCCATGCTGTGTTACTGTGTATGTATGTGACAGCTATATCTCCATGCTGTGTTACTGTGTATGTATGTGACAGCTATATCTCCATGCTGTGTATGTGTGTGACTGCTATATCTCCATGCTGTGTATGTGTGTGACTGCTATATCTCCATGCTGTGTTACTGTGTATGTATGTGACAGCTATATCTCCATGCTGTGTATGTGTGTGACTGCTATATCTCCATGCTGTGTTACTGTGTATGTATGTGACAGCTATATCTCCATGCTGTGTTACTGTGTATGTATGTGACAGCTATATCTCCATGCTGTGTATGTGTGTGACTGCTATATCTCCATGCTGTGTTACTGTGTATGTATGTGACTGCTATATCTCCATGCTGTGTTACTGTGTATGTATGTGACAGCTATATCTCCATGCTGTGTTACTGTGTATGTGTGTGACAGCTATATCTCCATGCTGTGTTACTGTGTATGTATGTGACTGCTATATCTCCATGCTGTGTATGTGTGTGACTGCTATATCTCCATGCTGTGTTACTGTGTATGTATGTGACAGCTATATCTCCATGCTGTGTTACTGTGTATGTATGTGACAGCTATATCTCCATGCTGTGTTACTGTGTATGTGTGTGACAGCTATATCTCCATGCTGTGTTACTGTGTATGTATGTGACTGCTATATCTCCATGCTGTGTATGTATGTGACTGCTATATCTCCATGCTGTGTTACTGTGTATGTATGTGACAGCTATATCTCCATGCTGTGTATGTGTGTGACTGCTATATCTCCATGCTGTGTTACTGTGTATGTATGTGACAGCTATATCTCCATGCTGTGTATGTGTGTGACTGCTATATCTCCATGCTGTGTTACTGTGTATGTGTGTGACAGCTATATCTCCATGCTGTGTTACTGTGTATGTATGTGACTGCTATATCTCCATGCTGTGTATGTGTGTGACTGCTATATCTCCATGCTGTGTTACTGTGTATGTATGTGACAGCTATATCTCCATGCTGTGTTACTGTGTATGTATGTGACAGCTATATCTCCATGCTGTGTTACTGTGTATGTGTGTGACAGCTATATCTCCATGCTGTGTTACTGTGTATGTATGTGACTGCTATATCTCCATGCTGTGTATGTATGTGACTGCTATATCTCCATGCTGTGTTACTGTGTATGTATGTGACAGCTATATCTCCATGCTGTGTATGTGTGTGACTGCTATATCTCCATGCTGTGTTACTGTGTATGTATGTGACAGCTATATCTCCATGCTGTGTATGTGTGTGACTGCTATATCTCCATGCTGTGTTACTGTGTATGTATGTGACAGCTATATCTCCATGCTGTGTTACTGTGTATGTATGTGACAGCTATATCTCCATGCTGTGTTACTGTGTATGTGTGTGACAGCTATATCTCCATGCTGTGTTACTGTGTATGTATGTGACTGCTATATCTCCATGCTGTGTATGTGTGTGACTGCTATATCTCCATGCTGTGTTACTGTGTATGTGTGTGACAGCTATATCTCCATGCTGTGTTACTGTCTATGTATGTGACAGCTATATCTCCATGCTGTGTATGTATGTGACTGCTATATCTCCATGCTGTGTTACTGTGTATATATGTGACAGCTATATCTCCATGCTGTGTTACTGTGTATGTGTGTGACTGCTATATCTCCATGCTGTGTTACTGTGTATATATGTGACAGCTATATCTCCATGCTGTGTATGTGTGTGACTGCTTTATATCCATGCTGTGTATGTATGTGACAGCTTTATATCCATGCTGTGTATGTATGTGACAGCTATATCTCCATGCTGTGTATGTGTGTGACTGCTATATCTCCATGCTGTGTATGTGTGTGACTGCTATATCTCCATGCTGTGTATGTATGTGACTGCTTTATATCCATGCTGTGTATGTATGTGACAGCTATATCTCCATGCTGTGTATGTGTGTGACTGCTATATCTCCATGCTGTGTTACTGTGTATATATGTGACAGCTATATCTCCATGCTGTGTTACTGTGTATGTGTGTGACTGCTATATCTCCATGCTGTGTTACTGTGTATATATGTGACAGCTATATCTCCATGCTGTGTATGTGTGTGACTGCTTTATATCCATGCTGTGTATGTATGTGACAGCTTTATATCCATGCTGTGTATGTATGTGACAGCTATATCTCCATGCTGTGTATGTGTGTGACTGCTATATCTCCATGCTGTGTATGTGTGTGACTGCTATATCTCCATGCTGTGTATGTATGTGACTGCTTTATATCCATGCTGTGTATGTATGTGACAGCTATATCTCCATGCTGTGTATGTGTGTGACTGCTATATCTCCATGCTGTGTATGTATGTGACTGCTTTATATCCATGCTGTGTATGTATGTGACTGCTATATCTCCATGCTGTGTTACTGTGTATGTATGTGACAGCTATATCTCCATGCTGTGTTACTGTCTATGTATGTGACAGCTATATCTCCATGCTGTGTATGTATGTGACTGCTATATCTCCATGCTGTGTTACTGTGTATATATGTGACAGCTATATCTCCATGCTGTGTTACTGTGTATGTGTGTGACTGCTATATCTCCATGCTGTGTTACTGTGTATGTATGTGACAGCTATATCTCCATGCTGTGTATGTGTGTGACAGCTATATCTCCATGCTGTGTATGTATGTGACTGCTATATCTCCATGCTGTGTATGTATGTGACTGCTATATCTCCATGCTGTGTTACTGTGTATGTATGTGACAGCTATATCTCCATGCTGTGTTACTGTCTATGTATGTGACAGCTATATCTCCATGCTGTGTATGTATGTGACAGCTATATCTCCATGCTGTGTATGTGTGTGACTGCTATATCTCCATGCTGTGTATGTATGTGACAGCTATATCTCCATGCTGTGTTACTGTCTATGTATGTGACAGCTATATCTCCATGCTGTGTATGTATGTGACTGCTATATCTCCATGCTGTGTTACTGTGTATATATGTGACAGCTATATCTCCATGCTGTGTTACTGTGTATGTGTGTGACTGCTATATCTCCATGCTGTGTTACTGTGTATGTATGTGACAGCTATATCTCCATGCTGTGTTACTGTGTATGTATGTGACAGCTATATCTCCATGCTGTGTATGTATGTGACTGCTATATCTCCATGCTGTGTTACTGTGTATGTATGTGACAGCTATATCTCCATGCTGTGTATGTGTGTGACTGCTATATCTCCATGCTGTGTTACTGTGTATGTATGTGACTGCTATATCTCCATGCTGTGTTACTGTGTATGTGTGTGACTGCTATATCTCCATGCTGTGTATGTGTGTGACTGCTATATCTCCATGCTGTGTTACTGTGTATGTATGTGACTGCTATATCTCCATGCTGTGTTACTGTGTATGTGTGTGACTGCTATATCTCCATGCTGTGTTACTGTGTATGTATGTGACAGCTATATCTCCATGCTGTGTATGTGTGTGACTGCTATATCTCCATGCTGTGTATGTATGTGACAGCTATATCTCCATGCTGTGTTACTGTGTATGTATGTGACTGCTATATCTCCATGCTGTGTTACTGTGTATGTATGTGACAGCTATATCTCCATGCTGTGTATGTGTGTGACTGCTATATCTCCATGCTGTGTTACTGTGTATGTATGTGACAGCTATATCTCCATGCTGTGTATGTGTGTGACTGCTATATCTCCATGCTGTGTTACTGTGTATGTATGTGACTGCTATATCTCCATGCTGTGTTACTGTGTATGTGTGTGACTGCTATATCTCCATGCTGTGTTACTGTGTATGTATGTGACAGCTATATCTCCATGCTGTGTATGTGTGTGACTGCTATATCTCCATGCTGTGTATGTATGTGACAGCTATATCTCCATGCTGTGTTACTGTCTATGTATGTGACAGCTATATCTCCATGCTGTGTATGTATGTGACTGCTATATCTCCATGCTGTGTTACTGTGTATATATGTGACAGCTATATCTCCATGCTGTGTTACTGTGTATGTGTGTGACTGCTATATCTCCATGCTGTGTTACTGTGTATGTATGTGACAGCTATATCTCCATGCTGTGTATGTGTGTGACAGCTATATCTCCATGCTGTGTATGTATGTGACAGCTATATCTCCATGCTGTGTTACTGTCTATGTATGTGACAGCTATATCTCCATGCTGTGTATGTATGTGACTGCTATATCTCCATGCTGTGTTACTGTGTATATATGTGACAGCTATATCTCCATGCTGTGTTACTGTGTATGTGTGTGACTGCTATATCTCCATGCTGTGTTACTGTGTATGTATGTGACAGCTATATCTCCATGCTGTGTATGTGTGTGACTGCTATATCTCCATGCTGTGTTACTGTGTATGTATGTGACAGCTATATCTCCATGCTGTGTTACTGTGTATGTGTGTGACTGCTATATCTCCATGCTGTGTTACTGTGTATGTATGTGACAGCTATATCTCCATGCTGTGTTACTGTGTATGTATGTGACTGCTTTATCTCCATGCTGTGTATGTATGTGACAGTTATATCTCCATGCTGTGTCACTGTGTATATATGTGACAGCTATATCTCCATGCTGTGTTACTGTGTATGTATGTGACTGCTATATCTCCATGCTGTGTTACTGTGTATGTATGTGACTGCTATATCTCCATGCTGTGTTACTGTGTATGTATGTGACTGCTATATCTCCATGCTGTGTTACTGTGTATGACAGGCCAGGAGAGGTTCGGCAACATGACTCGGGTGTACTACAAGGAAGCAGTAGGAGCCTTTGTAGTGTTCGATGTCACACGGTCATCCACGTTTGAGGCGGTCACCAAGTGGAAGAATGACCTTGACAGTAAAGTCCAGCTTCCTGATGGGTCTCCAGTACCGTGTGTGTTGCTAGCTAACAAAGTGAGTCATATAAAATATACAGAGCTAAGAGAAATCTTGTCCATGCTTACAGATAACATTGTTTTATTTTCAATTTAACCAACCGGAGCTAAAAGTCAAGATCATTAAATACAAATATGGGTGAATTTGTGTTTACTTTTTAAATACTACTTGATTGAATGCAATTTTATAGTCTCTGGACACTGTGATATTGTTATTTTTATTGTTATTATAATGTGTCTGAGTGGGTATTCATGTTAAAACTGTGGTATGGGGTCTCAGTGTGCCAGCACTATAAATCGGCATCAGTCCGGACTGGTACAAGCAGCCATACACACACACACACACACACACACACACACACACACACACACACACACACACATGCATGCACGTCGCTATGTAAGTGAAATAATCTTGGACGCAATGTTAAACCCCATTTCACCTCACCTGTAAACCATAATCTAAAAAAAGTTCAACCATATATTCAGAAGCCATTAAGTAGTATTATAAAACATTTTCAAAGGACATCATGATAAATTATTCAAAAGCTGTAGCCTATAAAACCATGACGACATTCTGGTATTTAAATTGTAAGTAAAATGTCTGAACCATTACCGGTAGTATTCATGTATAAACCTTGATCACTAGTTTAAAAATACCTAGGTCTGCTGGATGATGATGATGATGTTGTAGTGTGACCAAGCCGAGGGGATACAAGAGGTTGATTTTGGTGAAGGATGATGATGATGATGATGATGTTGATGATGTTGTAGTGTGACCAAGCCGAGGGGATACAAGAGGTTGATTTTGGTGAAGGTTGATGATGATGATGATGTTGATGATGTTGTAGTGTGACCAAGCCGAGGGGATACAAGAGGTTGATTTTGGTGAAGGATGATGATGATGATGATGATGTTGATGATGTTGTAGTGTGACCAAGCCGAGGGGATACAAGAGGTTGATTTTGGTGAAGGATGATGATGATGATGATGATGATGATGATGTTGTAGTGTGACCAAGCCGAGGGGATACAAGAGGTTGATTTTGGTGAAGGATGATGATGATGATGATGTTTATGATGTAGTGTGTGACCAGGCAAAGGGGAGACAGGAGGTTGATGGATGATGATGGATGATGATGATGATGATGATGATGATGATGTTGTAGTGTGACCAAGCCGAGGGGATACAAGAGGTTGATTTTGGTGAAGGATGATGATGATGATGATGATGTTGATGATGTTGTAGTGTGACCAAGCCGAGGGGATACAAGAGGTTGATTTTGGTGAAGGATGATGATGATGATGATGTTTATGATGTAGTGTGTGACCAGGCAAAGGGGAGACAGGAGGTTGATGGATGATGATGGATGATGATGATGATGATGATGATGATGATGTTGTAGTGTGACCAAGCCGAGGGGATACAAGAGGTTGATTTTGGTGAAGGATGATGATGATGATGATGATGTTGATGATGTTGTAGTGTGACCAAGCCGAGGGGATACAAGAGGTTGATTTTGGTGAAGGATGATGATGATGATGATGATGTTGATGATGTTGTAGTGTGACCAAGCCGAGGGGATACAAGAGGTTGATTTTGGTGAAGGTTGATGATGATGATGATGATGTTGATGATGTTGTAGTGTGACCAAGCCGAGGGGATACAAGAGGTTGATTTTGGTGAAGGATGATGATGATGATGATGATGTTGATGATGTTGTAGTGTGACCAAGCCGAGGGGATACAAGAGGTTGATTTTGGTGAAGGTTGATGATGATGATGATGATGATGATGATGATGATGTTTATGATGTAGTGTGTGACCAGGCAAAGGGGAGACAGGAGGTTGATGGATGATGATGGATGATGATGATGATGTTGATGATGTTGTAGTGTGACCAAGCCGAGGGGATACAAGAGGTTGATTTTGGTGAATGATGATGATGATGATGTTTATGATGTTGTAGTGTGACCAGGCCAAGGAAGGGCTAGTCAACAATGCATCCCAGATGGATGACTTCTGTACAGAAAAGGGTTTTATCGGCTGGTATGAAACATCAGCCAAAGAAAATATCAACATTGATGAGGCAGCAAGGTTTTTAGTAACTAAAGTAAGTAGTACAGTACTTGATGCTTGTTTTAGTTCTGAGTGAATTGGGCTTCGCTCTGACTTGGACACTATCTCAGTGACATCACACTGTGTCAGCTTAGTGTTGGAATAAGACCTGAAGCGAGGCAGGTGTTGGACATTTAAACCACTTTTATGAGCCCAGGAGCTCAGGCACGGTGCCAGGTAACCCAGGATCAGGATGCGGCGTTGTGTTCAATTAAGAATTGACGTTCACTTTGTGTGAGTTCATTGGAGTATGAACCTTCATTTGAGTGAGGGCCAAACTGTATCAATGTCGGAGCTTGCCCTCACTCTATGAAGGTTCATACTCCAATGAACTCACACAAAGTGAAAGTCAATTCTTATTGTTTTTTATCACAATTTCTTACCTCAAAGGATGTAGGCCAAGATCTAAACACAATTTTATTAAGTACGTGTGACTTCATGTTTACAATGACAGCCATACAACAACCAGCTACTTCGCGGAATAAAATAGTTCCTCATAAAGAGAGGTGACATGAGTGTATGAATTCACAACTTGCTCTTCAGAAACATCTTACGCAACACATGTATTCAAATAATATCACCATTAGATGAGAAAGGTCTGTTAAGAACACCCTCACTCAGTAAGTCAGTTACAGTGACAGCACGTCGTAATCAATCTCAGTAAAATCAGATCTTCGTTCTCGCTACCCCTAAACAAAGATCTGAGGACATTCCATTTGGGGTCACATCAGAAAACCTTTCATCCAACTAATCAGAGCGTCGCTTACCAGATCATGAAAGTGACAGTCGGCTTGAGATTTCTTATCATGCAGCCTCGAAAACTTTAAAACGGGGTATTCCGAACGATAGTTACGGGCTTAACGACTGAATCCATACAATCTAGACCATATATTAGCCATGCGAGAATGTTCTTTTGTTCAGGTTTCAAATTTTTAGGTGAAAATTTGTCAAAATATTTTTCAAAGCGTAGTCGCCAATTTGGAATTAGTGCCATAAAGCACGAGAAAGCTGCCTTCTGATTGGCTAATGTCGACTTCTTGTCAGTAATTCCATTGGTCGGTCAGAGTTCGCAAAAGGTCGGTCTGACGTGACCCGTAATGGGATATCCTCAGATCTTCGTTTAGCGGCAGCGAGAACTTCGTTCTGATTTTAATGAGATTGGCGTCATAATACATTTACATTAAGTACAAGACGTCAAAATGGCCGACACAATAAACGTGAGGCGAGAGATTTCGGGAGTTGTTAATGAACCCATGGAAGTTACATGTTATAGTCATCATGTGGAAGTAGTCCTGTCAGTGTTTACGTCATTCCAAGAACACGGTCTCGTGAAAAACGTATTAACGTCAAATTGTGTTTAGTATAATTCTAAATACTAGTGGAGCAAAGTAATAGTCTTTAAGCAGCAATAGAACACTCAGAATAATGAAATTTCACAAATATGACTTTGCTTGACATTTGACATTTCATCAAAGATCGGGCTGATATCTATGTATTTAGAATATATACTCACATGCAAAAGAAACGCAAGTGGTTTTATGCAAATAGGTAACAAACACGGAACCATAAATTGATACGAGTTTTAGCATGTAGTGAAGCCTGATGGTGTTATCAAGTAAAAACGCAACATAAAAAACGAATCGCCAAAATGCACCATTTCAATGAATATGTGGGTATCATGCACCCATTTCTCGCGAAATCGAAAATGCACAAACTGTCACGAACTGTAGTGGGTATAAAACTGTGGCCGATTCTTGGACCTACCACTCCATGGTCAACAATGCCATGCCTAAATCAAATTCAGAAAAACCAGGCTATCGGACGTTTGGAAGCTGGAGAGTCTGTCCAAGATGTTGCCTGTCATTTCAACGTTAACATAACCACAATTTACCGTCTCCTGCATTGATACAATGCTACACAGACCACAGATGACCTTCCTCGGAGCAGTCATCCTAGGGTCACTTCACCTCGACAAGATCGGCAGATTACACGTCAACACCAGCGACATCCGTTCCTAACTGCAAGTGAAAGTGCTCGACAGACCATAAGAACACATAATCGACACATTAGCCGGGACACTGTGATCCGACGTCTCCATTCCAACAACCTCAGATGTTGCCGACCAGCACGTCGTCCTGTTCTCCATCCACGGATTCGACAAGCACAACTTCAGTGGGCACAGGGTCATCATGAGTGGAGGCGTGTCATCTTCTCTGATGAAAGTCGCTTTTGTGTCTCCCATGCAGACGGAAGAGTCAGAATTTGGCGGCGTGGAGGTGATCGTTTCGCTGACAGAAACGTTGTGGAAAGGGATCCATCCATGGGGTGGACCTAGCGTCATGATATGGGCAGGGATTGGACTTACTGCGAGACTTGGACCCATGTGCTTTCTGAATGTTGGTCAAGGTCGGGGACACAGCGTCACTGCTCTGCGGTATATCGACCAAGTGATCAGACCCCACGTTGTTCCATTTTTTGCATAACATCAACAACACATTTTCCAGCAGGACAACGCTCGTCCCCATGTTGCCAGAGCTACCATGGCCTTTCTGCAACAACACAACATCCGTGTTCTACCGTGGCCATCCCTCAGCCCTGATCTGAACCCTATCGAACACTTGTGGGATGAGGTTCAAAGGCGTCTGCACAATGTGGCACAGTCCCTACAACTGCCGATTCACTACGCACAGCTGCTCTGGATGTGTGCAGGAGGATCCCTAGGGCCTTCACAAATTGTCTGATCCACTCAATGTACAGGAGATGTGTGGCAGTGATCAATGCTAATGGTGGTCACACCAGGTATTGACTGACATTTTGGGTATTGACCCGAAACTGTGTAACCCCTTAACATTTGAAAAAAACAATTATGTCATCTGCCTTTTAATCCATTAAACTGTCTTCAGTCAAATTTTGGTCAATCTTGCCCTATTAGTATTTCTTGTCTCAACTGTTGAAAATAAATAACATGTATACTGCATACTCAACTTGCGTTTCTTTTGCGTGTGAGTATATAATCAGTAATAAGAACCAGTCGGTTAAACAGAACCTGAAACAAAAATACCAAGTACAGCCCATGCAAGTCTATGATAGTTGGCAAGTCTAGATGCCTTCAGTTAATGAAAATAAAAGAGTCTCTGAGCTACTTACTATTATATATTTTATAAGATAACTTTTTTCTGTAAGATATTTTCATTTCAGAGTCTAGATGTTAATCTATTAACACAATACCAATTACCAATAGTAACTGCCTTACCAATATCAACAGTTACTTCCCTCTTTGGGTACTACCTCCTGAGGAGAGATGTCTTGCATGAAATAGCCTTCATTTAATCAAATCATCGTAGAAGTGTACACTTTTCTGAATTTGTTACACCAGATAGTAATTTATAAGACAGTTTAAAGCATTTGTCCTATACTTAATGAGTTCCCCTGCCTACTTCAGATTTTGAAGAAAGATCAAGAAATGAGGTTAGGAGACGATGACAAAGATCGAGAGAAGATCTCTCTTGATGGGCCAAATTCACAAGGCAAGTCCGAGAAGAAAGCAACATGCTGCTGACAGAGACAGGAAGTCATGTGACACGGACCACAAGCCACCCACCGTGAGCTGTCGTCATCTTGGTGCTCTGTAAAATGCCATTCCTCGTTCAATGCATCATCAGACTACACTCTATCACCCAGCCAGATGAAGTACTGTTTGAGGCCATCTTCATATGATCAGGTTTTATCCCATCCCTTCTAAGGGGGACACCTTTGTTATTTGTGGGAGTGTTTGTGGTGTTCATCTCGCGCCACGGTTTATTCTGCCATCTGTAAGAATATGTCTTGCATCTTCATTATACATGTATGTATGCGATGTGATGATGCTCCTGGTAGAGTTCTCTACTTTTGGTATATTTGAAAATTGGAATCACTGTCACGCCATACATGTTTTTATACATCAGCATTAAACATAGACACATGACCTAAAAAGTGCTTGCAATATACTATTCAACTTTTGATAGGGATAATCAGATATGTCATTCTATTTAAATATACATTATATATACTGTATTTGACGTAATAAGCACCCAGGGCGCTCTTAAAATTAGAAATAAGGGGCTCATATTAGAATATTATTTTGGTGAAAAAACAGAGTTGAAAGATAAATTTCGTGGTTTATGCTGACAGCCTGAAATGTTTGTATACGACAGATATATTTTTCCAGTATTTATTTGCCCATAATTAAGGGTGCATATAACACACGAGTACATATTATACATTAATACATAAGTCTTGTGTACATTGATCAATCGGAAGGGGTGCTAATTGGGTTTGTTCACTAGCCAATATATTAGCAAATATCGCCCTGGGCGCTTATTAGAGCGGGGCGCTTATTACGTCGAATACAATATTATATATATTATGTATATATTTTATATATTTTATATATTTTATATATTAAATTATGAGAATCTGTTTTGTGTTTTATTGAAAGATATATTTAGTCCTATCAAAAGTTGAGTAGCATAGCATAGTATAACATGATATGGCATATACTGTGTACTTTGATTTGGTTGTTTGTTGTTTAATGCCCCACTCAGCAATATTCCAGCTATATGACGGCGGTCTGTAAATAATCAAGTCTGGACCAGACAATCCAGTGATTGATATCATGGACATTAATCCACGCAATTTGGATTGATGACATGCATCAACCAAGTCAGCGAGCCTGACTGCCCGATCCCGTTAGTCGCCTCTTACAACAAGCATAGTCGCCTTTTACGGTAAGCTTGGGTTGCTGTAGACCAATTCTACTACGGATCTTCACGGGTCTATGTACTTTGACTAAACTGTAGTTGACATGTTATTGAGAATGATAAAATAAAGTTATTTCCCTTTGCTGCATTTTGTTGGTGCCGAATGTGTTGCTGGCAGATACCACAGCTTCTAAATGCCACTCGCAGATGCTGATTATACAGATGCTGGTTTAGACAGGGTGTTCTGTGTGAATGTTCTGTGTCAGTTGTAGGGGGTTGATTCCTCACTTTTTGATGGCGACAAGTAACCTGTCACACATGGTGCACGTAGGAATAGAATGTAGACTGCCTGCTTGACAAGCCAACACGTCTGCGCCATTTCAGTATGTGGAACAAGACCACCAGAGAGGGACTGTCAAACTTTTTAGTCTTGCTTCAATTTTATAATTGTTCAATCTCATTAAAATCAGATCTTTAGTGCTGATCTGAGGACATCCCACTACAGGTGACATCAAAATGACCTACCAGGAACTTTGTCCGACCTATGAAATTACTTACAAGAGGTTAACATAAGCCAATCAGAAAGCAACTCTCTCGAGCTATACAACGCAAGTTTCAAACACGCGACTTCCATTCCAGACTACGGTTTGAAAAATATCAACCTGAACAAAAGAAAATTCTGGAATGTCTAATAGATGCCTGAGATTATATGGAGTACTTCCCGTGAGAGATAAACAATGTTTCTGACAGGTTCAGCTGTACCCGTCGTTCGGAATACCTCATGTTAACTTTTTCGAGGTTACATGATTAGGAAATGTATTCCAAATATTACTTTCCCAATCTGGTAAGTGACACTCTGGTCAGATGAAAGGTCATTCGGATGTGATCTGTAATGGGATGTCCTAAGATCTTTGTTTAGCGAAGCAAGAACTAACATCTGATTTGAATGAGATCGATATTTTAAAGTTTTTGTGGACCATGGTTTTTCAAGTATGCATTTTAACCAAAGACATGAAATGTGAATAAAGGCAAACTGTTTTGGTTCTTCAATCAATAATCATGATATCATGGTTCTGAAACAATTAGTGAATTATGTGTGGACTTTTAAATGAAAATTCTCCTATGCTTATGATTTGGCAATTCCTCAGGAAAGGATCAGTTTCCTCATAATGATAGTGACTATCAGGTCAATCTTTTATCATTTTCATATCAGACTTTTAATTTGTTTAACTAGTTAGTGTCCTGGTTTGATTAGCTTTCAAATGAGCAGTTTCATTTTTTATATATTTTTGTTTGATATTTGTTATTGGCACAAGAGATCAGTCGAACAGAGAGATCAACACAACACAACAACCATTGTTTAATGTAGGCATAAGGTTCTATGTTTTGCATGCTGTGTAAAGCCTTTGTACTTTTGTCTAACCAGTCATCAGATAACAAGGCTTTTAAAAAATATTTCAGTCATCCTGTTAACCTCAACTTTTTGCCACCTTTAGTGAAACATTTTGAAAAGTCTCTATTAATAGATCTAAAGAAATTCTCATTTTCTGAAACTTAGGAGAAACTGAGAATGTTTATAATGAAGACCCAGTCCTAAGTGTAACCCTTTAGCAAAGAGTAAATGTTAGAGAAAAAATTATGCTCTAGCTACACACACTAAGTCGGTGCCTATTGTTACCGTATTTCCTCTATTAGACGCCGGGCCTCTAATAGAAGCCGGGTCAATTGTTCAGTGCAAAAAAATAGAAGCCGGACCTCTAATAGACACTGGGTCGATTAATTGGTACAATTAATGATCACTCTCATAGTGAAATGGGGGTATTAATAGTAGCCGGGCCTCTAATTGACGCCGGGTCAAAGGCTTGTCCAAAATAAATAGATGCCTGGGCGTCTAATAGAGGAAATACGGTAAGCGACACCTGAGTACTGGGAATGCAGGTATTAAATTCAGGCCATAACAACAGGTTTTGTCACCTCTCAGGAACAAATAGTTCATCCAAAATTGAGTCCTGGGCTTAAGTATGGAAAGTATGCAAATAAGACTAAAGACTCTTTTTCCATTTAACTCTGTTCAAATACAGTAGAACAGTAAAACACTGAAGGCTACTGAAAACACCAAACATCAGGAAGTACAGTTGAGGAGACACATAGGAAAGCTTCAGACCATGCTAACACACATCCTAGACATTTTGAAACATCCGCTAAGGGTGGATCACTTGAAATTGATCTCTTAATTTAAGCTGATAGGCTATAAAACATAAGTTAATGTTATTTTGAAGATACAGAGGGGCTGATATATGTGCATTCTTGGTACTATTTGTAGCTATTGATGGTTAACGCAATGGTGAAAACCTGGACCTTTTCATTCTATACCCATCTTCCCAAGGCAAGGGAGGTAACTGACTTTAAAATTCCAGTTTCCACCCATGCCAGCAGTGGCTATTACGAGTTATGTCCCTTTATTTGCCCCTCCTATTGACCAATTACATTTCACCTCTCATCTGCTTCAAACAAAATGGCAGCGCCCAGTCAAGACAATCTGATCGATAATTAAAATCTATATTGTAATAAAACTTTGATTAAAAACATAAAAAGATTCGGAAAATTTCTGTTGTTGCAAATCCTGCAATCGACTCAAGTCTGCAGTTTACAAACCAAATGTTGACTTCTTTATGTGATTTTGATTGGACTATGCATAGACATGTTAATCCAGCCAAACTATGACTCCATAATTCCAGCCTAGTTCGGCAAGGAAACTGGACTTTTATAGTCAGTTAACTCCCTTGCCTCGGGAAGATGTTGTATACATTTCTTAGCTACACTGCTCCCATTCTTGGTGTCCCTGCAGGAATTGTGCTGACAAAACTCACAACAGAAGTCATCATTTGGTAATTGTCCTGAGATTGGCATTTCATGTGTTTGCATGTATGAAGATTCACGTCCACATGTGAACTTTAGTGGAGAGTCCTGATGATTCTGACAGGACAGCAGTCTTTCACTTGTCCACTTCCCACACTGTTCCTACCTTTATGCCCTGATTTTACCATGTGTGTTCTGTGGTCTGTATGAAGACATTGGCGTTGTTTCCAGGAAACAAGGATTAGGTGTTCAATATATTTACAGAATTGAATGCCCGGGGGTGTAAAAGATGGTGAGGGTGGTTGTTTATTGAAGTCTACCTTTTCACTTTGTTTTAATTAGTGAAGATCCAGAATACTGCAGGGCAGTGGTTAAAGCAATTGCTCACCCTGACGTTGACCCTGGTTTGAATGCCTACATGGGTACAATGTGTGAAGCTAATTTCTGGTTGTTCCGCCAGGATATTGCTGGAATATTGACAAAAGCAGTGTAAAAGCATCCTCATTCCAGAACACCTCATTATGAAATAAACACGGTACAACCTTTAAATACAAGGAAATGTACTTCTAATTGGAGAAGGGTGGTTAATATTGAATACAATATGCTACATTGTAGATTTGCTGTGCATCTTCGTCTCGATACTTTCAAGAGGATTTTAGTGAATTTGATTGTGCTTTTATTCTGATGTTAAAGTATACAGATTTGTTTTAAGCTGTAAGAAGTGAACATTTAAGTGACTAAGAAACCCTCATGAAAGGTAACCTGCAGAGCATCATAATATTACTACTTTGTCTTGAAGCAGTTGAGTTGTGTCTTCCGGATACTTCCTGGCTACTTGGGAACCAAGAATATATTTTTTGCCTAATTATACATGTACATATATTTGCTATTTCGTTGCACATACATGATTTTCACTCTGATATTCAGTGACACAGATTCTTGCTTTGTAGGAGGAGCTTTCTGAGTGAGCAAGCCACTTGTGTACTGAATGTGTTTATCTGGATGATTATACTGGAAAACGGTACCATCCAAGCTACCACCCATTCAGTGGACCACGTAATAATGTTTTATTTGCAGTGCACAAAAAGCTCCTCTTTTCAATGGTAAATGATTGTGAGGTTTTCATTCCTGTGTGTCTCTTAAAACTGTCAGTTCATTCTATCTTGGCAGCCATTCACCACTCTCCTGGAAAGATTTTTTTAAATGACAAATGGGATGAAAATCTGATAATTGTTTGTGTCCTTTAAATGGTTATTTATTAATGTTATAGATTTGAAATTGTAACAGATAATAATATGTATGTGTTGATTATTTCTTCTTCTATGTTTATGCAAATTATACTTTGCAATAACTGAGGTCTACTGACACTGTAGGGCCTAGGTCAAGGACAAGCAGCCAATGAAACAGCTTGTAACAAAAGTACTGTTGTGTAGAGAAATTGTATTATTAGATAATATAAAGAGAATATAGGTCCAGTTTGATAGTTTTTCAAGTAATGTCATTTAATCAAACTTGATATATTTACTGAAATAAATGAGCATAGTTTTCATCCTATTGTTTGTTATAAATGACCCATGGACCAACCTGGAGCCTCTTGGAGAGGCAATCCTGGTCTGGTGTCATCGGAAGGAATATCTGACAGCACCGACATGTTTTAAATTGACATTGTAAAACAAATCAAACAAATTCAAAATTGATAGAAAAGAGTTGTTAAATTGAGCTGAGGTTAACTTGCCCTATGCCACGTGACTTTCATTGACTCAGAGAAAAACATGCCCCTTTGAAGCTGGGTATAAGGGTTTTATTCTGCCTCTCAGAAATCCACGTCCAGCCCGACTTGCTGGTGGTGGGGTATAAGGGATTCGCCTGCTGAGAAATGTATTCCCTCCCAAGGGGGGATACATCGTATTTTATCAAGATCACGTGGAACAATCAGATCTAATCATTCTGACATGGAGGTATGACAAAGTCTTTTCCGAGCACCATGACATCAACACCAATCATGTTGTATTTTTGTGTGTTTATATGTGTTCTACATGGGTTCCGAATCTAGGTGGTAAAGACATTTTGCCAAATGCCAAGTGTGGCTATAGAACCCACACATCCTTCATTAAGATTGGGCGGTAAATATTTCATTAGGGTTCACCTACATGTTCTGTGGAGGTGTCAGATCTTACGTAGTTTTGTAGCAAAAAATGTATCCCCTCACTAACCCCCTGTTACGTTTTAATGAGTGCATCAAGTTTAGTTTTACCTATTCACGAATATCCTTATCTAGATATCTGAGTTCGTTGTTTAACGCCGCACTCGGCAATATTGGACGGCGATCTGTAAATAATCTAGTCTTGAACAGATCATCCAGCGATTGACATCACGAGCATCGATCTACCCACCAATTGGGATACGATGACATGCATCAACCAGCCTGACCACCCGATCCCGTTTGTGGCCTATTACGACTAGCATAGTCGCCTTTTACAGCAAGCATACGTCGCTGAAGACCTTTTCTAACCCGGATCTTCACGGGTCGCAGATAACTTCACGGGTCGCAGTGAATTATCAAGATTGACCTTAGTTTACAGACGGTTCTAGAACAGGTCAACCTAGAATGGCAACAGACCAGACATTCCCTTTTTTGAAGTAAATGATCCCAAGGATACCGGATTATTCACAATTACTATGGCACAAGCAACACCTGAATTAGGTTTTAACCTATATAACTGTAAATGTATTTTGAAGATTTAATGATGTTTAAAAAGATGTAATACAGTTTATGACAATACGATAGAGGCTCCTCAAGTCTAGATTTGTGATTGTCTTATCAGTTTATCGGTGCCTTGCAAATCACCCCTTACGTCCCCGTGTACTTCATGATCTCTTTGCTGTTGACCGCCACACAGGTAAGTCAGTGGGACATAAGCTGCTCAACGCGGATACTTAAAATATGTGTGCTTGAATATATTTTAAGAAAAGTATCAGGTATTTTGACGTTATATATACTACGAGAAAAGATAGACGTGTCCATATATATGAATTATTGACGAGTAATTTACAGTTAAAAGTTTATCAATTGGACTCCGGGTGTTGGCTAGTCCTCCAATTGTTAACAGGAAACGTGTTAGCCTATCTCTGCGTCACTTATTGTCGGGTTACAGAGGAAAAAGAAGTCCCACTTCGAAATTTCTCTATATTGTAAACTGCTGTACAGACGTCTCAAAAGGGTATTCATAACCACAAATAGGTATTTATGACCAGTACTTGGTGCCATGTCTCGGCCAATCCATTAACAAGCTCGGGGATTCAGTTGGACGACACACCTGCTGACTGACCTCGTGTCGGAAGTCCTCCAGGTGGCCTGTAGGGTTAGTGACAGTCGGGACAGCGGGTGAAGACCTCGATGTTACTGATCCTGCACAGCTGTCGTCTTTTTAAGGGCCAAACCTACTAAATAGCTTGGGGATTTCAGTGCGGTCACTGGCACAGGCCCGTTCCAAATGGCACTAGTGTCTATTAAACCAGGGAGACTATATAGACTGTTGTTATAGTTTTCCTGGTTAAACTTACAGAAGTATGCCAGGGATTTCGTAGGTAATTGGATCAAAGTAGGAGTACCAAGCATTCGAAAGAGGGACTTCAAAACACCCTTTGGTCCAATGACCTGGCTTGAGACGACCAAGTACGTTTGCATTACCACTAAGCCCTTGTTAGTTCATGTTCCCGTTTCGCTGATCAGCCAGGGGCCATGTCTTGCTTTGAACAAAAATTTGTGTTCAATTGAAATCAAGTTTATTTCACCCAATACTTTAAACAATTAGAAGCTGTTTGAGAAAAATAATTAAGAAGGCTAAAAAACAAAGAGTCATTTTCAAAATGATTTTATTTATTTGTTTCTTTGTAACTGACCTTAAACGAAACTTTGGAACACGTGAAACAAATAATGGATTGTACATGTATAGTATACTTATTGTGATTTAAGTTATGAAATGCTATATCTATCCGAAAATAACAATGGTTATTACACTCGAGTGACATAACATTGCTGTGGGAACTATTTACAGTCTGACTCAAGGACATTAGGTTTTTCAGAGTAAGATTATAAAGCTGATAACCAAAACGTAATGAATACTTAGAATATGTGTTGTATTTTGTCAAATAACACGTTTATCTAATCTCGTGACCTGAAAAAAAGTTGATATACTTAAGAATTTGACTTCAATATACACTCAACATCCAACAGAATAATTTTCTTTGATAATTTGAAGCGGTAAATGTAACATGCTATAAAAATGAAAGTTTTTCAATAGAAACTGTTCAAAATTGGTAGGATTATGGCAAAAAAATTAATTACTTTTAAGACTGCATTTCATAAAGTTCATATAGGATTCAAAGTCAAATTGACGTAAAGAGTCAGCATAAACTTTGTCTTCTGCTATTTAAACATTGTTTATGGAAACACACAAAACAAATACGTGGGGGTACTTAGATCAACCAGTCACATGCAAGTCTGAGTCAGATCCCACCAGGATCTGAGACAAGGGCTATCGGGCAGATGTTGTTGACATGCTTCTCGGTTACCTTGCAGAACCAATGTTACCTAGACTCAGCGTTGTCGTTGCCCTAGTGATCTTCATTGGGGGATGCTGCGGCAGGTACGTCATCCGTCCCCTTGGTTACCTGAAACTCCCAAACAGCGTCACCCCCACAGACACATACAAGATCCTCTCGGGGTCTGCAGAGGAGGCGGCGTACGACCCCGATGACCAACTCATCTATGTCGTAGGTACGTTCATCCAGTAGTCAAACTATTTCTTCTTCCACCATACAACGATATGAGTAGATTGACTTTTCTTCCATTGTCATATCATCACGTTTGATTGTTTGTGGTTTAACACCGCACTCAGCAATAGTCCGGCTATCTGAATGCGGTCAGTCAATAATCGAATCTGGACCAGACAATCCAAAGCCGTCTGCCCTAATCATGCAAGCCCACTACTCTGCCACCATCAGCAACATCCTCATCACCCCTTCAAGTGGATATGTCGTCATACCATACCCCCGTACCACCAAATTTACCAATACCACCCGCATCACATTTGGCTTGCCTCCTTTACAAAACTGATTATCTTCCCGAGGCAAGTGGAGTTAACTGACTGTAAAAGTCCAGTTTACCCACTTGACGAACTAGGCTGGGATTATGGAGTTATATTTTGGCTGGACTAACGAGTGTATGCATAGTCCAATCAAAATCGCGTTACGAAATCGACATCAAACAAAACATCGTAAACAAAATGGATTTCAACGTGCAGATTTCGGTCGACTGCAGGACTTTCGAAGGGTGTGTACCGTCAACTGAGCATTGATATATATTTAGGAGATAAACATACTGTGTTTTCAATGTAGAGCGAGGTTACCTGAAGAATTAACCCCGCTAAATTAAAATTTGGAACCGAACGCGCAGCGTGAGCTTTCAAATGTTAAATTTAGCGCGGTTAAATCTACAGATAACCTCGCTCTGAATTGAAAACACAGTATGTTTATCTCCATTCTACCATGACTAAATAAAACGCGAACTCTTTGGTGTCAGCCAATATACTGACATACTATATATGACATGTATTGAAAGCATATAAAGCATATATTGTGATTTAATAGCCTCTGATTGACCAATCAGAATCGAGTAAATTCCAAATTCATGGTAGAATATTTAATCAAGGTGCTCACGTGATTTGATGCACTTCGCGAGGTAAGACCCGTTTTTTTACAATATAAAACATATAGACCTTGATCATTGATCAGATCGTCTTGACTAGGCGCCGCCATTTTGTTTGAAGAAAATGCAAGTAATATGATCATGATGATTGATGGAATCTGGTTGGTCAATGGGAGGGCCATAGCAGGGACATAACTCATAATCGCCATTGGTGGCGCAACGATCGGGCCCAGAAATTCCAGCCTAATTTGTCAAGGGTGGAAACTGGACTTTTATAGTCAGTTAACTCCCTTGCCTCGGGAAGATGCAAACTGATAGGCCGTGATAAAACCGACATGCTGTACAAAGCGGCGGTTAACCATGATCAGTCGCACTCATTTGCATGTATTTTACCATGCTCGCACCTACATCTCAATATATGCAGGTGACTTTCAGAATTCTCACTCTCCAAAAACATACCATTCTGACTAACACCTTTTATGCCGATTTCCATGGTTTGGAATCCAACATTCGCCTCAATTCTTTGTTTGTTTGTCAGCACCGTTCCCGTGTCCGTAAACGTCAAAGGCATGCTTCACTTTGGGCTTCCCTCCCACATTAAGCTAACAAGGCATGTCATAACTGAACTACTGACTTCTGAAGTCCTATCTAAATTTCCGACCTCTCATATTATATGTATCTACTTTGTCTTTATGGTCCCATGACTGGCTGGGCGCACCTCCATCTTCCTAGGGCAAGAGAGGTAACTGACTATAAAAGTCCAGTTTCCACCCTTGCCTAACTAGGCTGGAATTACTGGGCTCGATCGTAGCGCCCCTAGTGGATATTACCAGTTATGTCCCTTCTAAGCCTCTCCTATGGACCAATCAGATTTCACCTCTCGTATCACTTACGTTTGCTTCACACAAAATGGTGGCGCCTAGTCAAGACGATCTGATCGATAATCAAGATATATATTGTGATAAAACGGGTCTTACATCGCGAAATGCATCAAATTACGTGAGCACCTTGATTAAAAACATGAAAAGATTTGGAAAATATCTGCTGACAACGAGTTGGCGGTGCACATGCTTTGCAAATCCTGCAATCGACCGAAATCTGCACGGCAGTTTACGAACCTGATTTCGATTTCGGTGCGCGAATTTGATTGGACTATGCATAGACTCGTTAGTTCAGCCAAAAAGAACTCCTTAATACCAGCCTAGTTCGGCAAGGGTGGAAACTGGACTTTTATAGTCAGTTAACTCTCTTGCCCCGGGAAGATGGGCGCACCTCGTACTCTTTTAATGTCTGATGTGTATTATATATTATATCAATTATTCATTGTACGTGTTGTGCGTGCCACACAGACCGCCGTCATATAGCTGCAATATTGCTGAGTGTGGCGCCAAACAACCAACAAACAAAATACTGTTCGAAGCGGATCTTGACACAACTCACTCACAGGTCACAACGTACATTGCTAATACATGATTCACAGATCTAGATCAGCAGGGTTGTTTGTTTCAGGCGAAGGATCTCGACTACTCCACGTCGTGGACGTCACCAACCCCATGATGCCAAAGCGTCTCTTTACCCATGAGTTCAGCAGTGCTGATGGTGTACCGCGAGACGTGGAGGTCTGCAACGGCGAGGTGGTTGTAGCTATGTCCTCCGATGTACCCGTATTTCCGGGTCACGTGTTCTTTTTCAGGACATATAAACGAGGCTCTGATAAGATGGACTTTGACGGCAAAGTTACCGGTACGTTACTTCAGATCTCTACGGATTATCTAGGAAATTGTTGAATGGAGAATGGAGCACTAGTTAGCTTTCAATGGCCACCCGTCCTTAACTTCAAAAGAGGCAAGGCTGGAGTGAATTGGAATTCTTAGCAAATTTGATTCAATTAATTAAAAAACCTATGTATGATTTTATGCTGTGTGGTTTACTAACACTATTCATGAAATGGCAATGTCTCAGTTTGACAAAACATTTGCTCAAGAGTCTAGTCCCTCTTTAAATATCCCTCGACTTCGAATTGGTCTTTTTCCACAGCCTTTGTGACCACCCGATACCCAATTCAGCCAGGGAATGTTCTATCAGGTGTATAGGATGCAACCATTAAGAACAATAAGGCACAGAATAATCAGATGAAGAAGCGTCCCGTATGTCGTTACATTCATCACCAACTCGTCCAATCCCAAGTCGTTTTAGATCTTGTTGTAGGTTACGGAAACATGCGAGTGGTGACGAATGATGTCGTTCGTCACCACTCGCGTATTTCCGTAACCAAAACGGAAAGACACGAGGTGGCCACTAATGAAATCTATGTTAGTCTCGGACAAAATTAGCAGTCTTGCCTAAGTTTAAGTCATGTCTTTCAACAACAACTACTCCTCTGTGGAGGAAGGTTCATGATGTGAACAATCCCAGGAGTATCTGATCACCCAAGTTGACACCAGACACTTATTACAAAATCTAGACTGAGACTATCAGTGTACATAAATATTCATGATCGACATAGGACAACTTTTGGTTTACCAAATTCATTGTCGAATCCTACTGTATGATAACTAGAAAGCAGACGACACCCTCATGTGAAACTCGCTACATCATATACACACTCTGCCGGACAGTGGGCGAGTTCCCGGATGTACTGAAGTTCGCCCCGGATTGCAAGACCCTGGTTGTCGGGAACGAGGGGAGGTCAGGGGTAGACTACGCGGGGAGGTACCTCGACCCCGAGGGCACGCTCACCATCATCTCCAAGTCGACAACTGGCAACCCCTCGGAGAGATTCGTCGATTTCAATAAGTTCAACAGCAGGTACACCATATAACCAACCCCTTGAACACAAGAAAACGGCATCCATTTCAAGTCATTTAGAGTCGCAAAGCTACAAACACTATTTAATGTTTTCCAGCGAAGCTGTCTTTGAATACGTTGAAGTCCAAGTCTCATAAAATAAGATCTTTGTGCTAGCTAGCACTAAGATCTGATTTTAATGATTGGTTGAAACCGCCAATAGAAACAATTACCGTATTTCCTCTATTAGCCGCCCGGGCTTCTATTTATTTCGGACAAGCCTTTGACCCGGCGTCAATTAGAGGCCCGGCTTCTGTTAATACCCCCATTTCACTATGACCACGAATGTCCCGAATCGTCACGAAATGGAAATATTTTGTGTTCGTAGATATCCGTAGATTGTAATTGTATCAATTGATCGACCCGGCGTCTATTAGAGGCCCGGCTTCTATTTTTTGCACTGAACAATTGACCCGGCAACAATAGAGGCCGGCGTCTATTTAATCTCCGGCGTCTAATAGAGGAAATACGGTAGGTTACCAAAACTATAACCATTCTTTCATGTGTTCCAACTTTGCAATGATGCTGTTGTATGCCCACAGACATGAGATTCGAAGTGTGGCGAAGTCCATCCCTTCAAATCTCCTGTCCGCTCGAAGCACAATCGCACAGGAGCTGGAGCCGGAATACGTGACAGTGCCCAGTACGACAACTGCCTATGTCACGTTCCAGGTGAGTACCACTAAGACACAGGGTTCACTGTACATAGTTGCGTCCCTTTAGCCCTGGCAGAATACGCCGATTTGGTGTTTGAATCCCAGAACCGCCCTGATTGTAATCCTTGGTATCAAGTGGTATACTTGCGTCACCTCAGGCTTTGCCCTCTCATTTCATAAGGTACCACGCCGTGACAAAACTGAAAAAGCGGACTTAAACCCAACGCATCTCCTGATTGATCACAATAGTCATCAGTAACCTATACTTGTATTGTTTTAAGGGTTACCGTATTTGACGTAATAAGCGCCCAGGGCGCTCTCAAAATTAGAAATAGGGGGCTCAAATAGAGTTGAAGATCGCTCTGTGTATTTTGTGTCTCGAATTCGAGAGGAGCGGGCAAATTTATATGTATTTATATTGTGAGGCGGCTGGGACTGAGAATAGGTTCGAGATATCGTACATTCGAGATAACGGAGTTCGAAAAAACGAGGTTCGACTGTTGTCGTTAGCCTGGGCACCAATGGAGTTGTCCGGTGGTCTAAGGCGCCCAAAGTCTCCGTGTTTCGTCTCCTGGATGCTAGCCGGCTGTCGTGGGTTCGAATCTCAGATTCTCTTCACTTCTCAGATTCTTGTTATGTCAGAATTAGGTTATGGTTTCATGAAATAAGCAGTAACCAACAGCAATCAATTTGGGTTTTTTCCCCACATTAAACTGACACGCCGTGATAGTAGAAGTACTGTTCCGAACAGCTTAAACGCTTTAAACATAGGTACACGCTTTAATCAACGAAAAATATTATATTTTCACATATATGTCATTCTCATTAAAATCAGATCGTTTACACCGACGGAAATATACATCCATGCGTTAACTTAAGATCGGAGGACATCTCTATAGAAAGTCGCGTCAGGTGAACTTTCGAATCGACCAATCAGCGTCGAGACTTCTGAATTATCGGTATGGGTATGCGAAGTCTGATTCCTTAAAGTGCTGGCCGAGATGACCTTGATATTTTGGCGAGCCGGTAGCCCCAGTGTGATAACGATGCCCTTTCAGTTTCAGTATTCCAATTGCATTATGCCAATACATTGTACACCCTTGTACGTTTAGTTATCGATCACTACCTGAAGAGTTCATTTTGAAACCTGGTAATCCGAAATGCCATGCCCAATTGTCCGTAGAGTAAGGCTTTGAAACAGACGGCTTTATCTTAACCCACAGGAGAACAATCTGATCGCCCAGATCAATCTGAAGGACGCGACTGTGCCTGTTCTGTTTACCATGCCACACAAAGACTTCAGTGACGTCGCAATGGATGCGAGTGACCGGGATGGAGGTACGGTCGCAACGTGTGGGGTATTGTACAAACACACCCTCGTTTTCGGAGAGAGAGACTCATTAAGAGTTGCGTCCCTTAGCCGTGTTTCAGGATACGAGAGTTGTAGTTTATATCCTAGAATACCCAGATTATAATCATTGATCTGTCAAGTGGTAAAAGTGTGAGACCTGCGTCTCATTAGGCTTTCATCTGACACTGAACACATTTCTAAGGTTGGTTAAAGTTTATTTATTTCCATATTTATTTTCTTCAGATGTCATAATGTAAATCTATTTATTACGATGATTATTTTATGTTGATATTTATACTTATTTTTGGAATACTTTGGTTACTTATTCCCAAATCGTCCAAGGGGCCAGAATTCGCAGTGCAGAGTTACATCCCCGCTTATCGTCGGTTCGAATTACAGATTCATAGTGATAATGATCCTAGGTTTGTCAGCACCATGCTCGTGTTTTATTTCCAAAGTGAGAAATGTCTACGGCCTGCGACACCTTGTCTTGACCCTGTGACATAAGTGAAATAATATAAAATCATGTTCAAATGGGCGTTAAACTCTCTTGTCTAATACCAACCTCTGTGCCAGGAATCCACATGCAAAAGTTCCCCCTACGCGGCCTCCGCCAACCCGACGTCATCAAGAGCCTCGTGTACAACCGCAGGACGTACCTGTTTGTAGTGGACGAGGGCGCCATGTCCTCCTTCACCACGGCCTCTCACAGCATACAGTGGGATGAAGGAGAGAGGGCTAAGGTGGTCAGTTATCGTAAGTCAGCTGGACTCGGGGCCCATGAAGATCCGGATTAGAATGGGTTTTCAGCAACCCATGCTTGTCGTAAGAGGCGACTATATATGCTTGTCGCTAGAGACGATTAACGGGATCGGTTGGTCAGGCTCACTGACTAGATTGATGCATGTCATCGTATCCCAACTGTTTTTTATGTCAATCACCGGATTGTCTGGTCCAGACTAGATTATTTACAGACCGCCGTCATATAGATAAAATATTGCTGACTGCGGCGTTAAAAAAAACAACAAACAGACAAAATACGCCTATAGATTTGGTTGCTGGTGGCTTACAGCGACCGGGCCTGCCATCAACAGTACCTTGTTCCGATGTTTGTTTGATCCACACAATTGGGATACGAACAGGCAATCAACCAAGTCGGCGAGCTTGACCACCCGATCTTAAGTCGCCTCTTTCGACAAGCATGGGTGGCTGTGTATTTAAATTCTTATCCGGAATCCCCACGGGTGTATGGACTCGTTTTGGGATCATTTGGATATACAGTGCCACAGCTTCCTGTACGGTACCCATGCAGGATTAACGTCATCACTCTAGCTATCGTTGGTTGTGGTTAATGCTAGCCAATAATAAACATTGACGGAGTTAAACGTATCTTTAGAATAACGCCTCATAGAGGGGGCAATACGTTACACTACTATAAATGTGTTGATTATTGGATAACACCAAATTTAAAACAAACATTTTACTCCTTAAAATACATATTAAAATTTTAGATGCACATATTATCCAGTACATAGATGTGTTAGAATTACTAGGCAAGGGAGTTAAATGACTTTTATATCTATATTTGGGTGAAATATTAGCGTTATGGTAGCTGTATGTAAGTAGATATAGGCATGACGTTGATATTATTCTCAGAGTCTTCTTTGCAGAGAAAGGATATGACACGAGCGCCATCACCAACGCCTCATTCCTCGCCGACCTCAACGACGACAGCAAACTCGGTAAGGAGGAATAATTGCGTTATTTTGGGACAATGCAGCAGCCACTTGAGACTTATTGACTCAAGTGCCAGTATGTGTCTAACTATAACCACTCGCCCTGGACAAACAGACATTATGCTGACAATTTTCAAAATTTTCAAAATGATGTCATGTGTAGACATTTCCGAAAGATGCCCGGAGAGCGAAAGGTCGGTGGTTCGATCCCCTGGCCGCGCCTTATCCAAAAAAATATATATTAAAAGATGGTACTTGTTGTTACCCTGCCTGGCGCTCGGCATTAAAGGGCTAAAACAAGGAGTGGTCGGCTCGGAATCGGTATACTATGTCTGAGTGGGTCACCATGTTAAACTATGGCATGGTATGTCAGTGGGCTTGCACTGTCAAACCTACGTAAGTCAGCCATGTCGCTATACCTCGTATAAGTTCAATAATCTTGAACGCGAAGTAAACCCCATTTCACATAACCTCACCAAGGGATACATGGAAGTGAGGGGTAGATTAATAGTCATGGTGTCTTTAGTTGCCGTATACGGTGTCATATTAGGTAAGCAGAAAAATATTTGGCGAGGCGTCAATATTTTCTAACCTAATATGACACCGTATGGCATCTAAAGACCCCATAACGAAGTCATTATCCCGAAATTATTCACTATCTGGTATGTTTATTGCACATGTCATATCAAAATGAAAACTTGCAACACTTACAACTATTGACGTTAAGGGTCGAAGGGAGACTACTTTTCAAACCTAGGAGGCCAAGCTGTTAAAATGTTTAACTATAGACTTTATCAATAAAGTCACGAACGTGATTTTAAAAAAATTAATGTCCTTGCACATTACAATTAATGATATAAAAATACAAAACAGTGACGCATAACGCATTTCTGTACCAGAATTTTAATGATAAATATATGAGGTGGGTGATGGAAAATCCAAGATTGCTGTTACTGGCAGTATGCGGTCTCATATTACATCAGTAACAACCAGCTTTGATTTTTACTGACGGTATACGGGCTCATATGGGGTTAGAAGCTCGGCTCTCTGATTCGTCAATCTCACTTCGAGGCATAATACGAACAAAAAGGGGGTGGTGCTCTACTTTTTTCAAGGTGTATATTATGGTGGTAACGAGTGCATCGGAATTCAAGATACATATTACCACATCCAACCAATAGTCCCCGATAGGTGGTAAAGTTGTCTAGTTGACAAACAATAGATACACTGGCAACATATGGAGTGCGCTTCAAAACTTCGGGGAAAAACATATTTTTAAGAAGGGTATACGTGATGTTCAAATACTCGTAGTCCTATTCATACAAAGTCAATATATACCAGTAATATATGAAGAGCCTTGTCAACTTCCTTTTAAGATGGGTAGCTCATGGATGCGTGAATATCGTCCTGTCTGTACGATTGTTGACTCAGAGAGAAATGCCCAAATAGTCACCACTGTAATCGGGGTAAATGTTTCTCTTTGAGATAAGTAAACTACTTTGCGGTGTACCCGTGAACATCCGGGCTGGTCTTCAGCAACACATACTTGTCTAAGAGGCGACTAACGGGATCGGGTGGTCAGGTGCACTGACTTGGTTTATAATCCCAATTGCGTTGATGTCAATCACTGGATTGTGTAGTCCAGACTCGATTTTTTACAGACCGCCATTATATAGCTGGAATATTGATGAGTATACCGTTAAACAACACACAAACGTACAAAAACCTTGCAGGGCGCCTGTATGTGAGCCGCATCGACGGGTTAAACCCGTTCACCAGTAAGATTGAGGACGTGTACACATACGGAGGGCGGGGCTTCTCCATATGGGACGGTTCCTCCATGGCGATGCTGTACGACAGCGGTGACGAATTGGAACGACGTGCCAGGGACTCCTACTACAACGTCTTCAACTCCGAAGGTGTGGAGCCTACGGTATACTCCCCCGAGACCCTTAAGGACAGCGTATCAGACGACATGGTGAGTTCCATCGTCACTGCCAAGGTTATGGAACAGACTAGGTATACACGGTAGCCGATGCTTGTTGTTGGAGGTGACTGAACCGGGGATCGGCTGGTCACAATGGCTGCTGTGTATGAGCATGCTGAGGCTTGAAGCACTGTAGTTATTACTCCGCAATCCCCACCTTTCTAACACTTGTAAATGTGTAGAAATGAAATGTTTGAGAGCAGTTACTGCTCACTCTATCAAACACTGGCTTTTCTAGTTCTGTTGGATATTGGACCTCCAAGATTTCGTTAAGAGTGTGTATTTTGTCATTGTTTACACATAAGTACAGACATTAGCGTACAAATAGTTCAGAATCCCTGATCTTAGGATTTTTCGTAAAAACCATGAATAGAGCACGATTAACTTTGACAGATTTGTTTTACTGAAAATAAAAGTTGATTTCATATATATATTTTTCTTGATTATGGACAGGGTACTGTCGCTTTTCTTTATATATATTTATCATCTTTTCTGCTATATTATCCAACACTGCAGGGCCCAAAACCGAATGCAATGGACGTGATCAGAGACAATAACGAGAACTTCATCCTCGTCGGCAGTGAAACAACCGGCATCATCTACCTCTACAATGTCACCCTCGGCACTAAGGTCAACGTCGACTTCCAGGACGTATACAGACGCGGCAAGACAGACTCGCTGTGGTCTCAACTGTATGATGACGATGCTGCCGGAGATATGTCGATCTCTGACATCGGGTAGGTAGGGCAACATCATCGGGGGTAGAGTGTCGTCATCAGTGACACGAAGTTGGTATATTGCGGGGTCATCAGTGATCCCGGGTGGGTAGTGTCATCAGTGACATAACGTTGGTATATTGCGACGTCATCAGTGACACCGGGTAGGTAAAGCGACGTCATCAGTGACATGAAGTTGGTGTATTGCGGTGTAATCGGTGACACCGGGTGGGTAGAGTGTCTTCATCGGCGACATAACGTTGGTATATTGCGACATCATCAGTGACATCGGGTAGGTAAAGCGACGGTAGTGTGAGCGACATTTGGCTATATTATACACTAAACTATTATATTTTACGAACGCTTCAAACTACATCTGACTGGTGTTTTGACTGCTTCATGCCGCCTGTTTTCAGTGTCTGTTTAAAGCAGCGATGCGTTTGTCACTGGTACGTTTCAGGTTTATCTCAGCTAGTCAGAGTCCGACCAACAGAACGATGTTCTACGTGTTGGGGGCAGGCAGCGGTTCCGTGTCTCTGTATGAAGTGGAGGACCTGGGACCCGATCTACCTTCATTTCCCTAGGAGGGACTTGTGACAATAAACTTTAACAATGGTGGAATAATGGCATTTCATTAAAAAATGTCAGAACATATTGTTTGTTGTGGGTGATGTGTCATACTGAAATTGTATCTTTGTTATAACAACAAGCATCCTTTGGGGATGACGGAGTTGGATGTAATGCTGCTTTTAACAATCATTCAAGGTTTATGAGTGGATTGGGGTTTAGCGCGACCTTGAATTGTATTCCAGTTACCTCACATAATGTCATCTTAATGTGGGAGGAAAGCACGAAGTGATGCAGGTCTCAGACGTTTACCGTGCACTTTGGTGAAACCCACGAGCGGGTATGGTGTTGACAAATCTCGAAATATAGTTGGGCCGAATCGGGATTCGAACCGACGATCGCGCCATCCACGACGATACACAATCAGACGGTACAACTCTGAATCCTCATTACAGTCGCCATTTAAAGAATAGGAAATACCGTGGGTCTATTCTGCCCCGGAATTCCGCTTCTTCACGACGATGTGATCTTTTCAGTTGCTTAAAATAAATCGCTTGATGATAAATAATATATTACATAGCGTGATTCCGTGCTGCACGTGCATGAATCCTCGCCATCAAAAGAGCAGGAATAGTCAGGAGACTAATTGGAAAACCTTTGTTGAAAATATGTTGTCATGGATGATCCCGGTAAGGGTCATATATTGAACCAACCAACAGAAATTCATGGCTATAATCTCGTGGGAATTTGATTCCAGTCAAAACGGACTGTCGCCAGAGTCTGTAGTCTGGCAGGTATGAAGTGCAAGCACTAGTATGGATGCTAGCTCAAACACTAGCCCATATTGTCTAGAATTGTTCATGGACACCTTTAGCAACATCTTAAATGTGAAGTCATTGCCTTATGTATAGCGTACACAAACAGACGATGTGACAAGGACGGATGGGCAATATTGAACAGCAGTCGGATCATAGACCGGAAGACGGTGTGGTCACGTGACGAATATAGTGCCCTTGACATTAACATGGAAATAGAATAGAATCTGGGAAATGTGTTCCGACCGCTGTTCATGTGATTGCCTAGACACACACTGAACACGATCGGTCATTTCTACAGAAACTAACTTCTTTGCACTTACGGAAAGGGGCGAAGTTTGCCTATTACATCCACCCTCGTCACAGCGTTCTGTGGTTGCCCTTCATTACCTGCCAAACCCGGGTCGCCGTTGGGGGTTAACAACGTAGCCTGGCTGCTACCTGGCGGCATTGTTCAATGTGTCAAACACTATTATGACCATTCATTGATACCAATTCCTTGTCTTGCAACATAACCAGCCTCAAGCCAAAACAAAGTACATTTTGACCTATTACAGACTCAATGACATTGGTCTGATTTTCTCACTCCTGAAGTTTTTCGTACACCAGTAGATAGACGCTTTGCCACTACACGCGAAGAATCGGTCGATTAATGATCAATAATTTTTCGTTCCACAGCCTTACATACTCCACCATGACAATACATATCGATGCATATGTCATCACACCATGTTGAGCCAGAAACCTAATTACACTGGTATCCACAACAAACAGCCAATATACAACAACGCATATTTTCTTAAGCATGACAAACACCACTCTCAACTATCCAATGGATTATATCTCCATTCTATTATGATAAATACCAGGACAAACCACAAACTCATCAAAACTTGAAGTAAAAACATACTGCTCAGTGTCTAGTAAGGTTATGTATGCTACCTGAAACAAGTATTATGATGCCTTTGGCTCCATGTGGTTTAGAGCGCCACTGTTAGCCAAGTGGTTCAAGACGCCCCACAGGGATTCACCCTCACTGTAAAGTTGTGATGTTGAATCCTATACTTTCATGGTTCTCTGCCCCAAGTCCATTTACTCACAACAGGCCATCCTATTCATATCCCCACATGCATGTAATTTATAAGTCTGTCATACAGACGTGTCACTCGGTGACAGCAAAATAACACAACAAACAAATTGAGTAATGAATCACCAGTATTTTATTCCTGGGCTACCAAAATTAACATAACAAGATGTGCTGCAGCACTCATTCAGCATCCACCTTCAACACACACTCACCAAGAGGTTCAGTGTTATCTGGATGGTATTTTGGCAACATGGAAATACATCATTAACATATTACACAGTATATTGCATTGATCATGTTGAGAATGGCCAGCCCCCTTGGTGATTACATCCCAACCACTAGATAGACCTAGATTGTGATACACTGTGATATGGGAAACGCCTCACCTTTAACAATGACTCTTGATTATGTAGTCGAGAGAAGTGACCAAGTGATCTGCACAGCTGAATAAGCATTGTGTATGAGTGGAAATTTGACTTGGATAATAACATTTACTGACCTATACCTTTGGATATATTTTGTTTTAGAACTGAATGACAAATGCCCGAACGTACAATTTCAAAATGGGTCCTTTTACTCAGTGAATCGACAAGATGACCTGACTTTGGCTGATACCATTTACTGGCCTTTATTCAAGTTTCAGAGAACTTTAGAAAGGCTTTTGTTTTAGATCAGCTTTTGTTTTAGACCATAATGACAAATAAATATCAAAATATAAAATTTTAAAATTGGTCAATTTACTCCATGAATTGACAAGGTGACCTGATTTTGGATCATACCATTTACTGGCCTTTATTCAAGTTTCACAGACCGTTAGGATGGCCTTTAGACCATAAAGACAAATAAATATCAAAATGTAGAATTATAAAATCGGTCAATTTACTCCATGAATTGACAAGGTGACCTGACTTTGAATCATACCATTTTTTTTACCTTTATTCAAGTTTCAGAGACCGTTAGGATGGCCTTTAGACCATAAAGACAAATAAATATCAAAATGTAGAATTATAAAATCGGCCGTGAATTGACAAGGTGACCTGATTTTGAATCATACCATTTACTGGTCTTTATTCAATTTTCAGAGACCTTCATAATGGCTTTTGTTTTAGACCATAATGACAAATAAATTTCAAAACATAAAAATTTAAAAATTGGTCAGTTTACACCATGCATTGACAAGGTGACCTGATTTTGGATCATACCATTTAATGGCCTTTATTCAAGTTTCAGAGACCGTTAGGATGGCCTTAAGGCCATAAAGACAAATAAATATCAAAATGTAGAATTATAAAATCGGTCAATTTATTCCATGAATTGACAAGGTGACCTGACTTTGGCTAATACCATTTACTGACCTTTATTGAAGTTTCAGAGAACTTTAGAAAGGCTTTTGTTTTAGATCAGCTTTTGTTTTAGACCATAATGACAAATAAATATCAAAATGTAGAATTATAAAATCGGTCAATTTACTCCATGAATTGACAAGGTGACCTGACTTTGGATCATACCATTTTCTGGCCTTTATTCAAGTTTCAGAGACCGTTAGAATGGCCTTTAGACCATAAAGACAAATAAATATCAAAATTTAGAATTATAAAATCGGTCAATTTACTCCATGAATTGACAAGGTGACCTGACTTTGGATCATACCATTTTCTGACCTTTATTCAAGTTTCAGAGACCGTTAGAATGGCCTTTAGACCATAAAGACAAATAAATATCAAAATGTAGAATTATAAAATCGGTCATTTTATTCCATGAATTGACAAGGTGACCTGATTTTGGATCATACCATTTACTGGTCTTTATTCAATTTTCAGAGACCTTCATAATGGCTTTTGTTTTAGACCATAATGACAAATAAATTTCAAAACATAAAAATTTAAAAATTGGTCAGTTTACACCATGCATTGACAAGGTGACCTGATTTTGGATCATACCATTTACTGACCTTTATTCAAGTTTCAGAGACCGTTAGAATGGCCTTTAGACCATAAAGACAAATAAATATCAAAATGTAGAATTATAAAATCGGTCAATTTACTCAACGAATTGACAAGGTGACCTGACTTTGGATCATACCATTTTCTGACCTTTATTCAAGTTTCAGAGACCGTTAGAATGGCCTTTAGACCATAAAGACAAATAAATATCAAAATGTAGAATTATAAAATCGGTCAATTTACTCCATGAATTGACAAGGTGACCTGACTTTGAATCATACCATTTTTTTTACCTTTATTCAAGTTTCAGAGACCGTTAGGATGGCCTTAAGGCCATAAAGACAAATAAATATCAAAATGTAGAATTATAAAATCGGTCAATTTATTCCATGAATTGACAAGGTGACCTGACTTTGGCTAATACCATTTACTGACCTTTATTGAAGTTTCAGAGAACTTTAGAAAGGCTTTTGTTTTAGATCAGCTTTTGTTTTAGACCATAATGACAAATAAATATCAAAATGTAGAATTATAAAATCGGTCAATTTACTCCATGAATTGACAAGGTGACCTGACTTTGGATCATACCATTTTTTTTACCTTTATTCAAGTTTCAGAGACCGTTAGAATGGCCTTTAGACCATAAAGACAAATAAATATCAAAATGTAGAATTATAAAATCGGTCATTTTATTCCATGAATTGACAAGGTGACCTGATTTTGGATCATACCATTTACTGGTCTTTATTCAATTTTCAGAGACCTTCATAATGGCTTTTGTTTTAGACCATAATGACAAATAAATTTCAAAACATAAAAATTTAAAAATTGGTCAGTTTACACCATGCATTGACAAGGTGACCTGATTTTGGATCATACCATTTAATGGCCTTTATTCAAGTTTCAGAGACCATTAGAATGGCCTTTAGACCATAAAGACAAATAAATATCAAAATGTAGAATTATAAAATCGGTCAATTTACTCCATGAATTGACAAGGTGACCTGACTTTGGATCATACCATTTTCTGACCTTTTTTCAAGTTTCAGAGACCGTCAGGATGGCCTTTAGGCCATAAAGACAAATAAATATCAAAATGTAGAATTATAAAATCGGTCAATTTATTCCATGAATTGACAAGGTGACCTGACTTTGGCTAATACCATTTACTGACCTTTATTCAAGTTTCAGAGACCTTTAGAAAGGCTTTAGTTTTAGACCATAATTAAAAATAAATATCAAAATGTAAAATTTTAAAATTGGTCAATTTACTCCAAGAATTGACAAGGTGACCTGATTTTGGATCATACCATTTACTGACCTTTATTCAAGTTATAGAAACAGTCTTTTGTTTCAGACAATAATGTTTGTTTGTTTGCTGTTTAACTTAGCAATATTCCAGCTATGTGACAGCAGTCTGTATAATCAAGTCTGGACCACACAATCCAGTGATGGACATCATGTGCATCGATCCATGCAATTAGGATACGATGACACGCATCAACCAAGTCAGAAAACCTGACCACCCGATCCCGTTAGTCGCCTCTTACGACAAGCATAGTCACCTGTTACGGCAAGCATGGGTTGCTGAAGACCTATTCTCTCCCCGGATCTTCACAGGTAATGACAAATACCCAAATGTGGAATTCAAAATGGGCCACTTTACTCATTTATCATGTTTATGCCCCAATATATATATTAGATTCAATAGAATTTAAAAAGCCACCATACATATTAGGTCTAAAAACACTCATGGTTTGATAGTATCACCAAATTAGTATGCCACATGAGTGAATGTTTCAATTCAAAACCATAACCTGGCCTACCATCAATAAAAGGTCTAAATATTCTCCTGGTTTTAGGATATTAGGGAATTAGTCAAATTAATATGCCAAATGAGATCATCGAGTTCAATAGAATTAGAAAAGCAACGATAAATATTCCATTAAGAAATACTCTTGGCTTTATGTTACCAACCAACTAATTAGTGAGAAAATGTTTCAATTCAATGGCATAAGCTAAGCCACCATTGACAATAGGTCTAATCACTTTATACAACCAAAATTAATATGCCAAATGAGATTATAAATTTCAATAATATTAGCAAAGCTGCCATAAATTGATTTTTGTTTTAGGATTCAGCCAAGGCCTTCAGAATGGCTTTGTTTTAAACCATAATGACAAATAAATATCAAAATGTAACATTTTATCATTGGTCAATTTACTCCATGAATTGACAAGGTGACCTGATTTTGATCATACCATTAACTGGCCTTCATTCAAGTTTCAGAGACTGTTAGAATGGCCTTTAGACCATAAAGACAAATAAATATCAAAATGTAGAATTATAAAATCGGTCAATTTACACCATGAATTGACAAGGTGACCTGACTTTGGATCATACCATTTTCTGGCCTTTATTCAAGTTATAGAAACCTTTGGATCTCTTTTGTTTGAGACAATAATGACAAATGAATACCAATATGTATAGTTTAAAAATGGGTCAATTTACTCCAAGAATTGACAAGGTGACTTGACTTTGGCTGATACCATTTACTGGCCTTTATACCCTTGCTCGTGGGTTTAACCGAAGTGGTAAACGTCTGAGACCTGCATCACTTCGGGCTTTCCTCCCACATTAAGCTGACACGCCGTGATATAACTGGAATACTGTTAAAAGCGACGTTAAACCCGACTCACTCACTCACTACTGGCCTTTATTCAATTTTCAGAGACCTTTAGAAAGACTTTAGACCATAATGACAAATAAATATAAAAAAGTAGAATTATAAAATTGGTTAATTTACTCCAAGAATTGACATCGTGACCTGACTTTGGCTAACCTTTATTCAAGTTTCAGAGACCTTTAGAAAGGCTTTAGTTTTAGACCATAATGAAAAATAAATATCAAAATGTAAAATTTTAAAATTGGTCAATTTACTCCAAGAATTGACAAGGTGACCTGATTTTGGATCATACCATTTACTGACCTTTATTCAAGTTATAGAAACAGTCTTTTGTTTCAGACAATAATGTTTGTTTGTTTGCTGTTTAACTTAGCAATATTCCAGCTATGTGACAGCAGTCTGTATAATCAAGTCTGGACCACACAATCCAGTGATGGACATCATGTGCATCGATCCATGCAATTGGGATACAATGACACGCATCAACCAAGTCAGAAAACCTGACCACCCGATCCCGTTAGTCGCCTCTTACGACAAGCATAGTCGCCTGTTACAGCAAGCATGGGTTGCTGAAGACCTATTCTCTCCCCGGATCTTCACAGGTAATGACAAATACCCAAATGTGGAATTCAAAATGGGCCACTTTACTCATTTATCATGTTTATGCCCCAATATATATATTAGATTCAATAGAATTTAAAAAGCCACCATACATATTAGGTCTAAAAACACTCATGGTTTGATGGTATCACCAAATTAGTATGCCACATGAGTGAATGTTTCAATTCAAAACCATAACCTTGCCTACCATCATCAAAAGGTCTAAATATTCTCCTGGTTTTAGGATATTAGGGAATAAGTCAAATTAATATGCCAAATGAGATCATCGAGTTCAATAGAATTAGAAAAGCAACGATAAATATTCCATTAAGAAATACTCTTGGCTTTATGATACCAACCAACTAATAAGTGAGAAAATGTTTCAATTCAATGGCATAAGCTAAGCCACCATTGACAATAGGTCTAATCACTTTATACAACCAAACATAATATGCCAAATGAGATAATAAATTTCAATAATATTAACAAAGCTGCCATAAAATGATTTTTGTTTTAGGATTCAGCCAAGGCCTTCAGAATGGCTTTGTCTTAAACCATAATGACAAATAAATATCAAAATGTAACATTTTATCATTGGTCAATTTACTCCATGAATTGACAAGGTGACCTGATTTTGATCATACCATTAACTGGCCTTCATTCAAGTTTCAGAGACTGTTAGAATGGCCTTTAGACCATAAAGACAAATAAATATCAAAATGTAGAATTATAAAATCGGTCAATTTACACCATGAATTGACAAGGTGACCTGATTTTGGATCATACCATTTTCTGGCCTTTATTCAAGTTATAGAAACAGTCTTTTGTTTCAGACAATAATGTTTGTTTGTTTGCTGTTTAACTTAGCAATATTCCAGCTATGTGACAGCAGTCTGTATAATCAAGTCTGGACCACACAATCCAGTGATGGACATCATGTGCATCGATCCATGCAATTGGGATACAATGACACGCATCAACCAAGTCAGAAAACCTGACCACCCGATCCCGTTAGTCGCCTCTTACGACAAGCATAGTCGCCTGTTACAGCAAGCATGGGTTGCTGAAGACCTATTCTCTCCCCGGATCTTCACAGGTAATGACAAATACCCAAATGTGGAATTCAAAATGGGCCACTTTACTCATTTATCATGTTTATGCCCCAATATATATATTAGATTCAATAGAATTTAAAAAGCCACCATACATATTAGGTCTAAAAACACTCATGGTTTGATGGTATCACCAAATTAGTATGCCACATGAGTGAATGTTTCAATTCAAAACCATAACCTTGCCTACCATCATCAAAAGGTCTAAATATTCTCCTGGTTTTAGGATATTAGGGAATAAGTCAAATTAATATGCCAAATGAGATCATCGAGTTCAATAGAATTAGAAAAGCAACGATAAATATTCCATTAAGAAATACTCTTGGCTTTATGTTACCAACCAACTAATAAGTGAGAAAATGTTTCAATTCAATGGCATAAGCTAAGCCACCATTGACAATAGGTCTAATCACTTTATACAACCAAACATAATATGCCAAATGAGATAATAAATTTCAATAATATTAACAAAGCTGCCATAAAATGATTTTTGTTTTAGGATTCAGCCAAGGCCTTCAGAATGGCTTTGTTTTAAACCATAATGACAAATAAATATCAAAATGTAACATTTTATCATTGGTCAATTTACTCCATGAATTGACAAGGTGACCTGATTTTGATCATACCATTAACTGGCCTTCATTCAAGTTTCAGAGACTGTTAGAATGGCCTTTAGACCATAAAGACAAATAAATATCAAAATGTAGAATTATAAAATCGGTCAATTTACACCATGAATTGACAAGGTGACCTGACTTTGGATCATACCATTTTCTGGCCTTTATTCAAGTTATAGAAACCTTTGGATCTCTTTTGTTTGAGACAATAATGACAAATGAATACCAATATGTATAGTTTAAAAATGGGTCAATTTACTCCAAGAATTGACAAGGTGACTTGACTTTGGCTGATACCATTTACTGGCCTTTATACCCTTGCTCGTGGGTTTAACCGAAGTGGTAAACGTCTGAGACCTGCATCACTTCGGGCTTTCCTCCCACATTAAGCTGACACGCCGTGATATAACTGGAATACTGTTAAAAGCGACGTTAAACCCGACTCACTCACTCACTACTGGCCTTTATTCAATTTTCAGAGACCTTTAGAAAGACTTTAGACCATAATGACTAATAAACATAAAAAAGTAGAATTATAAAATTGGTTAATTTACTCCAAGAATTGACATCGTGACCTGACTTTGGCTAATACCATTTACTGACCTTTATTCAAGTTTCAGAGACCTTTAGAAAGGCTTTAGTTTTAGACCATAATGAAAAATAAATATCAAAATGTAAAATTTTAAAATTGGTCAATTTACTCCAAGAATTGACAAGGTGACCTGATTTTGGATCATACCATTTACTGACCTTTATTCAAGTTATAGAAACAGTCTTTTGTTTCAGACAATAATGTTTGTTTGTTTGCTGTTTAACTTAGCAATATTCCAGCTATGTGACAGCAGTCTGTATAATCAAGTCTGGACCACACAATCCAGTGATGGACATCATGTGCATCGATCCATGCAATTGGGATACAATGACACGCATCAACCAAGTCAGAAAACCTGACCACCCGATCCCGTTAGTCGCCTCTTGCGACAAGCATAGTCGCCTGTTACGGCAAGCATGGGTTGCTGAAGACCTATTCTCTCCCCGGATCTTCACAGGTAATGACAAATACCCAAACGTGGAATTCAAAATGGGCCACTTTACTCATTTATCATGTTTATGCCCCAATATATATATTAGATTCAATAGAATATAAAAAGCCACCATACATATTAGGTCTAAAAACACTCATATTTTGATAGTATCACCAAATTAGTATGCCACATGAGTGAATGTTTCAATTCAAAACCATAACCTGGCCTACCATCAATAAAAGGTCTAAATATTCTCCTGGTTTTAGGATATTAGGGAATTAGTCAAATTAATATGCCAAATGAGATAATCGAGTTCAATAGAATTAGAAAAGCAACGATAAATATTCCATTAAGAAATACCCTTGGCATTATGATACCAACCAACTAATAAGTGAGTAAATGTTTCAATTCAATGGCATAAGCTAAGCCACCATTGACAATAG